AAGATTCACGGGGAAATAAATTCCAAAGAGTTGTTGAGGCTCAAACCAAAACTATTGAAGAAACCCTCACCGCTTTCCAGGTAGAGCCCATTAAAGAGCCATGTTTTAACTGTAAGAAAACCTAAGTCATTTTAAAAAAAAGACAGTTCTGAAGAAGAGACAAATACAAAATCACCTGATACTTACCCTCAGCACAAAAAAAGAGGCATTATACCGATCTCTGTCGCTCCAAATTTCACAGAACAGAGAAGCCTCTGTCGGGAACTTCAACAAGAGCTCACAGCGCCACCGTGACACAAAACAAAGAACGGCGGCTCCATCGCAAACGAACAGAGCAGATGCGATTTGTAAAATCACCAGAAATCTCCCGAGCAACCCCGAATTATTACCCCCCGGGGCACGATGCAAACTAACAGCTGCTACATTACCATAGCTCTAAACAAACTTTTGTCATCAGTTTCTGCCCGCAGGGGTCACTAGTACTTCACAACAGGGACAGGACATTTTCATTCTAAGCAGAGACAAAACCATCATTGTTAGATTTTCCGTTTTCCCAACCCTATTATTTCAGTACATTGTAACCAAGAGCTGACAGCTTCAGCTCTTGCTTGCAGCACTCCAGCAGCAATTCAGCCCAAACCACTAAGAGCCATTACTGCTGCATTGCCAGTGACTGTAGCTAAGCAAGACATCCACGGAGAGCCTGTGCTTTTAACGAAGCAAACCGTGTACCAAGGCATGGCACCGAGAGCTTTAGCCCACAGCTGGTGGCCTCTGGGTGGGAGGTGTCCCCAGTGCAGAGCCAGAGCCCCCTTGCAGTGTGAGCAGGGCAGTGGAGCAGGGAATGTCCCAGCCGTGCTGGCCACGGGCACGGAGGGCGCTGCGATTCCTCCTGTGCTGCAGCCCGGCCCCTGAGCCCCGGCAGCGCCGTGGGGCTCCCACAGGAGTCACAGCAGCCCCGCCGTGTGCGCACAGTGAGCTCGTGGGGACTGCCCCGGTGCCGAGGATGAGCCGAGCATCGTCCGGGCCCTCTGGGCACAGCCCCAGCCCGGCAGAGAAGGAAGCCTCGCTGGCCAGTGAGGAGCAGAAACAGAAGGGAGTTTCTAATGAGAGCCCCAGCAGCACCGACCGCTCCAAAGTTATCATCGCAAACGAACAACCCCGTCCAAGGGAGTCAGGAGCCTCCAACGGGGAAAAACTAAATGCCATCAAAAATTAATAAATTAACAATTACCAAAAAATCACATCAAACCCAAAGAGCCCCTAGGATTCCCCAGAGTTTGTTATTCACAAGAAAATGTCTGACTCCTAGAAATTACTCCACAACTTTAAAAAATCAACAAAATAATAGAAAACTGAGAGCCCTGCAACCTAGACTTCCTTTCCTTTCAATAATTCCAAGAAACTGGCCTCTTATTGTCACCAAGTTGAGACTGTATTTTCAACATTCCCCTACATCCACAAATACCCCTCCATTTGCCTTTTCAGTTCCAGCCATCTATTTAAAAAAATTACAAAAACATCACTAGTCAGTTTTACTGCAAAAAATAAAAAATCACCTACTCTTTATCAATATTTTATAACAGGAGCTTTATCTCCACCACAACAAAAACAGCCACAGTCAAGAACTTTACATTACATAGACAATTTACTCATTTTACATTACATAGACAATTTACTCATTACCAACTCAAAAAGAAATAAAACAGATTCAAAACAACGTCATCACAGACGCTCAAAACACTAAATTAAAAAGTTCTACATCACAGAAATTAAAAAGTTCTTCATCAAAAATGCAAGAAATCCCACCTTAAAAATATTTCAGATAGAAGATAACAAAACAATCAAGCCACAGAAAGTACAGCTCCCATCCAGTGCCAAGACCTTACAACATTTACAACTTCTCCTCCAGTTTTAATTTAAAACTCTGAGACAAGACAAATTAAAAATCCATTTCATTTAATAACCCAAGACAAGAAATTTACTTCTCTTTCCACAAATACTAAACCTAAGTAGATTCCAACAAAAACATAAAACCATATCACACATAAAACCACACTAACAATTCCACAAACAAAACCACAACCACACAGATGTAAGGCACACAGAAAAACTACAGTTCGCACCCAGCATCCCCTCCCCAACCTGCACAAACTGCAAACCTCAACTTTTATATCAATGGTAAAACTAGAAAAATCCTTCATATCACAGAGCTCTTTTAGCAAAGGCATAGTATCCATCATGTTAAAAAAACATCCCTAAATGTCCAACTTTACAAAACAAAGTATAAACAAAACAATTTAGTGCCTTAGAATTAACCAGTACTGAAAAAATTTGACAAACCACAAAAACTAAATACTCCAATAAATTTATTGAAAAATTAAAATGTCGCAGACATCTTTTTATGAAAAATCCTTTCCTTAGGATTGTTCCTCCTGAGAAGCTGCGAGGCCTCAGGAACAAAATGCAACCAATGGTTATCTGCTGCTGTGGAATGCAACAGGTGCATCTGGGATTGGCTCATGGGGTTGTTTCTAATTAATGGCCAATCACAGCCCAGCTGGCTCAGACAGAGAGTCCAAGACAGAGCCTTTGTTATCATTTCTTCCTTTTCTATTCTTAGCCAGCCTTCTGATGAAACCTTTTCTTCTATTCTTTTAGTATAGCTTTAATGTAATATAGATCATGAAATAATAAATCAGCCTTCTGAAACATGGAGTCAGATCCATGTTTCTCTTCCCTCAACATAAGACCCCTGTGAACACGGTCACATTAAAATACATAAAAAACCTTTTACCAAGAGTAACTAAACAAGAACATAAAGGTAAATAAAAAAATATAGTAGCAGTTATTAGTTTTACTTATTTTTACAACACAAATATACCTATAAATCAACCAAAACCAAATGTTTAAGTTACTCTGAGTCAACAAGTTCAAACACCAAATATTTAACCCATTTCAGCCCAAACAATCCCTTTACAACCTATTTAATCAGTACACTGATACCAACCCAAAAATAACCAACTCCAAACCCTGACAGCTCTGAGGGTACAGTCACCAACCAAACAAATCCTGTACCCAATTATATCACTGAACCCCCAATCTTCTTAAAACACCCTTTAAACCTCAACAATTAAACACTCTGAATTCTTTAACAATCAGATTTTGTACTAAGTTTCAGTATCAAAGAAATCTACAGTTAATATTACTCCTCATCATCCTATATAGAAAACCTCAAGCTTTTAGTACAATTAAAGAACTCCTCGGCCCCCTAAAAATAAAACAATTAATCTTAACAAATTCCCATAGAAATTGAAAAAAAAATTAACTCATGGAAAAAAAAAACAACCTAGGAAAACGTTCCCTCAAAAATTAAAAATAGCCCACATAACATTAAACAACTCACTATAATAACACCTAATATTGAAAAAAAAATAAAAACTGTAAAAACGTCAACCCATCATTATTAAAAAAATCTGCAATAACAATTTTAAACCCGACAAAACGAGTTACATTAAATTTCTTTTTACCACAACTCACCTTTACTATAACATTAAAACAATAAAACCAGAGTATTAATTGGACAAAACAAATCAATACTACTTCATTTTTAACAATATAATAACAAATATTGGTACTATTAAACATACAGCCTTACAAAACAAAACCACCATCAATTTTCTCTTACTAGCACATCAACTTAATAACAAAAGAAATTAAAAATAATATTACATAAACTTATTGTACATCCATCCACAAACAACTTCAAAAACGAAAAAAACTAACAAACCAAATTAAAACAAACATTAAATACTACGTTTAAAATTATTTTAAAATAAAACACAACCTTTACACCTCAGCTAAAAAAACTTACAAATGAAATTTCCGCATATTCAATATTATAATACCAGTACTGGTAATAGTACCTCATATACTTCACCGTACAAAACAAAAAATAAATAAGACCTCAAAAACATTTCTAGTTGTTTGTTTGCTTTGTTGTACACACTAGTAAAGAACTGTTCTTCTATTCTAATGTCTTTGCCTGAGAGCCCCGTAATTTCAGAATTCCGAGGGAAGGGGTTTACATTTTTCATTGCCAGGGATGCTCCTGCCTTCCTCAGCAGATCCCGGTCTTGAACCAATACAGCCCCAGAACATCGCTCTGTGCCACTGTGTGGGGAGTAGGGAGGGAGGGAATCGGGGATAAAGTGAAGCCAGAAAGGAGAGAGCAGCGAGGGGAAGGTGCAATTTAAGGTTTTGGCAGCCTACTCATTCCCTTGCTCTGATTTGTTTGACAGTCAATTCTATTAATTTCCTCAGTTCTGCTATGCCCATGATGGGTGAGAGATCTCTGGCTGCCCTTACTGAGAGCCCCGAGCCTTTCCTGCTGTGTTCTGTTACCTGCCCAGGGGCAGGAGCAGAGGCACTGAGCGCTTTTGCTGGCCCCGGGCACCTGGACTGACCCAGCCCAGCCCGAGAATCCCTGCGGGAATTCCCTGTTGAGAGCCCCAGGAGCGGCTGCCCCGGGGCTGCGCTTCTTCCCCAGCTTCTCCTGCGTGAGGGCTTTTCCTTACCGCGGTGTTTCAGACAGGACCGACCGGGCACAGCTCATCTCACCTTAACTCCCCGCTCGCTCCGCCCCTCTCCTCGCTGCGATTGGCGGCTTCGGAAAACGCGAAAGGCGGCGCGCCCGGTGAGTGGCCCAGGGAACAGAAGGGGCGAATCAGAAGGGTGGGCGCGCGGGCACGTTCGGATCGTTCTGCAGTGGCCGCGGCGGCGGCACCCGGAGCCCGGCGAGGCGGCGGCGGAGCTCGGAGGCGGCTGCAGCCCAGGTGGGAGCCGCGGTCGGTGCTGCCCCAGCTCGGGGCTCGCTGCGGGCGGAGGGGCCGCGCTGAGGGCCGGGGGTTCTGGCGAGTTCCTGGTGGCGGCTTCCCCCGTGTCCCCCCTGCGCTGGGATCGCCGAGGGAGCGGCTGCCCGCGCTCTCCTCCTTGCCCCGATGGCCGGCATGGAGCCGGTGCCGCGGCAGCGCTGGCTCATCCCGGCTGCTCTCGGTGGCACGGAGGCGGCTGCTCCGTGCCCGGCACCGTTCCCGCCCGTGCGGCACCGGGCTCGGGGCCGCTGCTCGGGGGGGAGGTGTCCGTGCCCGGCTCGGGGCTGGCACGGGATGAACTTGAACGGGCCTCAGAGCCCAAAGCGCTGCAGGCGCCGAGTGCGGGCACAAAGCGCCGCATCCTGCCTGCTCCGGGGCCGAGGCTGCTCGGCGCTGCCCTCGGTACCGGGACCCGCTCCGTGTCCGCAGGCAGGGAGCCGCAGCGGCCGTGCCGGCGCTCGGTGTGCCCGGGCTCCGAGGCGCCGGGGCAGGGAATGCGGGGCACAATGGTAAGCAGCCCGGGGCTGCTGCTTCTTGCCCCTCGGCAGGGCCGGGCTCCGAGCCGCAGCTGCCCCGGGCCAGCAGGAGGCGGCAGCTCGCAGGCGCTGTCAGCGCCCGGCCCGGCACGGAGCTGGGCTGCAGCGGCTGCAGAGCCACAGGGGCCGGGGCTGCGGGCACCGAGAGCTCCCGGAGGCTGCGCTTGTCTCCGCAGCTGCTGCCGCACCTCTGGGCAGCGGGGACAGCGCAGCCACAGCTGCCACCGCCCTCCTGAGCCCCCAGGGCCGGCACCAGCAGTGACCTCTCCCCGTGTCCCTTTCAGGCTGCCATCAACGCGGCTGTGAAGGTGTTCCCGAGGCCGAGCTCCCAAAGGATCTGCCAGCAGCACTCCTGATGTGTCAGGAGCAAGGTGCTGTTTGTTCCAGGCAGAGAGATGCCGGCTGTGAGCAGAAGGGGAATGAACTCTGCTCCATTCGTGCAGTTGCAAATGAGCCCCAGCATCCCCAGCAGGGACCAGCAGCCGCGGTTCCACACCTGCCTGGGGCCCAAGAAGCCTTTTGGAGTCAGCACGGGGATGCCACTTGTGAGTGTGCAGTGAGTGCAGATGTGGAGAATGGATTCTGCACCAGTGATGGGAGTGAGAGAGAGCCCCTGGGTCCCCCGGGCACATCAGCAACCAAGAATGAACACAAAAGGAACTGCAGAAGATTCCTGGGTGAGTGCAGGGCCACCCCTGTGGTCTCTAGGGTGGGGCCCATGTCCCCTCCCAAGGGCAGGGCTGGCAGGTGTGTGGCTGTTTCCCGATGTCTGGCAGAGGCCTGGTGCTCTGCTGGGCCCCATCAGTGGCTGGAAGCAAGAGCCCCAGCTGCCCCCAAGGCTGTGCAGTTCTCCTGCTGCAGCCTGTGCCCACAGCTGTGTCCCTGCCTGTGGCCAGGCTCTTGGCTCTCTGGCTGCCAGCTGAGTGAGGCCCACACTGGCTCAGGGCTCCCTGCTCTGCTCCCTGGCCATGGGCTGAGCAGATTGCAGGCCCGGCTCTGCTTCTGGCAGCCAGCAGCTCTTTCCTGCTCCAGGTGAATGGATCAGGGGCCATCCCGTGGGCACGGCGGTGCTGATTCTGCTCCTCCTGGTGCTGGTGCTGGCTTTGGGGGTGGCCTTGGCTGTGCTGGCAGGTAAGGGAGGGGCAGCAGGCTGGGCCCAGCCCCTCGGGGCAGAGCGGGCTCCCTGCTCCTTGCACAGGGCAATCCTCAGACCTTCTCCTCTTCCCCCTGCAGCACCACAGGTTCCAGTCACAGCTGCGACTCCGCTGTCGGTTCTGGGCTGTCCCCATGGCTGGGTTGGCTGCAATGGGGTCTGCTACTACTTCTCAAGGGATTACAGCACCTGGGAGCAGGGTCAGGAACGGTGCTCCGAGCTCGGGGCCTCCCTGGCCATTGCCAAGGATGAGGAGGCCATGGTGAGTGAGGGGCTGCGGGCGGTGTGGGGTGGCTGAGGGCAGCCTGGGGGTGCTCCTGGGCCGGGCTCGGTGCTCGTAGGGCCGGGGCTGCAGCCCTGGGCCGGGGCCTTGCAGGGAAGGAGCCCCGGGCCCGTGTCCCCCCGAGGGGCCGGGGCAGCTCCCACTCCTCCCCTCTCTCCTGGGCAGGATTTGCTCTTCCGCCTCCGTGGGAAGGTCGATTACTGGCTCGGGCTGCGCAGACGGGGCGAGCGCCTGCACTGGGGGGACGGCAGCAGCTACAGCTCCCGGTGAGTGCCGGGGAGCCGGGCAGGGCCTGGGGGCGCAGGGGCACAAGGGCTGCCCCTGGCAGCCAGCGCTGCCTCTGCTCCTCCCTGCAGGGTTCCCGTCTTTGATAATTTCGAGTGTGCGTACCTGGCTGATGAGAGATTGAGGAGTGACAACTGCTCCAAAGAGCGGCCGTATCTCTGCAGCAAGGCCCCAGCTCCCCTGTAACAGGGGCTGCAGAAAGGACCTTCTCCACACTGGGCAGTGCCAGCTTCACCTCTGAGCCCAGCACAGCGCTGTCCTTCCTCAGCTGCACCCTGTGCCTTGCCCTCCCTCTCAGGGTCACCTCAGTGCCTCTTCATGCCCAGTGCCAACGCTGGGCTGGGGCTGCAAAGGAAAAGTCTCTGCAATCCATCCTGCCACCGATGCTGCCTGCAGTGAGTGCATTGCCCTCATGACACAACAAGCTCCAATGGGAAGTCCAAATGGACCTGGGCTCTTGGAATTAATCACAAACTGGCTGGAATCTGGTGACACTATTGGACTGTCTTTGGAAGAGGAAGAACACCTGACACATGGTGAGGAGGAATCCCACTTTTGGCATGAGGCACCTGACTGTGAAGAAGGATCTGTCAGCTGCTGACTCTTTGTCCGTTTCCCCTTCAGAGGAGGACGGTCAGAGCTGCTTCCCTGGGGAAGGGAATTTGCTGCCAGTCCCATAACCCAGCCCAGAGCTGCTTCTCCTGCTGTGGGGTTGTGGGGTGAGCCTGTGCCTGTGAGAGCAGCCCCTGCAGGGGCACCTCGCTGTCACCCCTCGATCCGGAGGGCCCTGTCCCCCCTGCTCGGGTGCCCGGGACCCTGAGCTCGCCTCTCCCTGCCCTGCTCAGACCCAGCTGCCGCTGCCCCTTGGGTGCTGCTCCGAGCTTTCGCTGCTCTGGACTGTGAAATACAAAGCTGTGTTTTGTGTCAGGTACAAACAGGCAACGTGTGCATTTGTGAGTGTGAAATGTGTGGACCCCGACAATGGGAGAGCTGGGAATTGTAATAATAACTAAGGAAAATAAAGCATGGAAAAAGGCCTCTGAACCTATCTTTTGTTTGCAATTAACCCTGCTTGATTTAGGAGCATTGGAATTAAGATGTTAAGGATGTTGCTTTTTGCTTGCATCTAATCCATAAAGAGCTCTGCAATAATAACCTTTTGAAGTATAATTTTAGAATATTACTTGTATCCTACTACACCTGCTAGCTCAACTCAAACAGAAACCAATATTATCTATTACACAACAACAAGCAAGCTTTAAAAAACATAACCCAGCACAAAGTATCCAAGCAATCCAAAGACGTTTATAAAAGCCTTAAAGCTCTAATCAAATAATATTCTTATAATGCTCTTATAATATTAAAAAAAAAACCTAAAAATTTTACTTAATCTTACGTCCAAAAGCAGTTTCCAACTATAACACTTCTTTATTCAGCTTCCGTCTGAGACCCAGTTAAACTCATATTTTTACCACAATCCAAAACCATACGACCACAAACGTATTACCTCCGTATTACACTTTAATGAACTGATTTGAACAACCTGCAAATCTTTCCAGTTGCCCATTGCCGTGTGCAAAGCCCGCCGCGTCCCCAGCCGTGTCTCCGAGCCCTCCCTCCCTCCAGCCGCGCCCAGGGGCCCCGCAAGCCCGAGCGGAGCCGCGGTGCCCCCGGCGCTGCCCCGCAGCCCCGCCGCTCTCCCGGCTGCAGCCCCCGCTGCCATCCCCAGCCCGCCCGGGATCCTCCAGCCCTGCCCGGCCGGGAGCGAGGGCAGCTCTGCCGAGCAAAAGGAGCGAGGCTGCTCTGCCAGCGCTGCAAAACCCGAGCTCTGACTGCCGCCAAAGAGAGGAACGAGAGAAAAACCCGGGATTTGACAACTCCTCCACAGGGAAATGAAGCAGGGCACGGACCCTGGTTCAGAGGAAGAGTTTAACCCGTTCCATCCCAGCCCCGTCAACACACAACGGGAACTGACTAATTGGGCTGACATTAGACCTAAACTCATGCAAGATAAAGATTTTAATTCAACACATAGAAAACTCCTTGCTGTGCCAGTTCGATATAAGGAAAATAATGCTAATCCTCGGTGGAAGCCTATAGCACATTAGGATATTCAGAAATTGGGAAAAGCTTTTAAAGACAACAGCTTAAACTCCCAGTATTCAATAACGTGGTGAGAAGTGGATATGATTCTTATCACCTCACACCTTCAGACTTCTGTAACATTTCATCTGTAATTTTAACAAACTCACAATATATTCTGTGGGACTTGGAACAGCAAAAGCATCCTCACAGATCAGTGGAGAGCTCTGCTAGAAGCCCTAAAGCCCAGCTAACAATCAGTCAATTAGCTAGAGATCCTCCAAACCATAAAGATGAAGACCAAGCCGAATCCCTTTCCAGAGCAGGAATAAGAGATATTAAAAATGCAGCCAGAAAGACTCTTTTAACTGTACAACTGCAAGAACCCATGAAAATGCCGATTCTCTGATTCAACAAGCCACAACCAAACCTCATCTTGCCTTTTTAGATCGCTTGGCACAAGCAGTTCAGAAGCAGTGTCCTAAGGAAACAGCACATCCTCACTGAATTAAAGCCTTGCCTTTACTAATGCAAACAATAAATGTCAAAGGGTTCTGCTACCAGAGCAGCCACCAACAGTGCCACCAATGCTCTCAGCTTGTGGTAACTCTGCACTCCACAGCACATCGTGACCATACAAGCTCCTGTACTGGGGGAACAACTTACAAAGTCCCAAGATTCACGGGGAAATAAATTCCAAAGAGTTATTGAGGCTCAAACCAAAACTATTGAAGAAACCCTCACTGCTTTCCAGGTAGAGCCCATTAAAGAGCCATGTTTTAACTGTAAGAAAACCTAAGTCATTTTAAAAAAAGACAGTTCTGAAGAAGAGAAAAATACAAAATCACCTGATACTTACCCTCAGCACAAAAAAAGAGGCATTATACCGATCGCTGTCGCTCCAAATTTCACAGAACAGAGAAGCCTCTGTCGGGAACTTCAACAAGAGCTCACAGCGCCACCGTGACACAAAACAAAGAACGGCGGCTCCATCGCAAACGAACAGAGCAGATGCGATTTGTAAAATCACCAGAAATCTCCCGAGCAACCCCGAATTATTACCCCCCGGGGCACGATGCAAACTAACAGCTTCTACATTACCATAGCTCTAAACAAACTTTTGTCATCAGTTTCTGCCCGCAGGGGTCACTAGTACTTCACAACAGGGACAGGACATTTTCATTCTAAGCAGAGACAAAACCATCATTCTTAGATTTTCAGTTTTCCCAACTATTATTTCAGTACATTGTAACCAAGAGCTGACAGCTTCAGCTCTTGCTTGCAGCACTCCAGCAGCAATTCAGCCCAAACCACTCAGAGCCATTACTGCTGCATTGCCAGTGACTGTAGCTAAGCAAGACATCCACGGAGAGCCTGTGCTTTTAACGAAGCAAACCGTGTACCAAGGCATGGCACCGAGAGCTTTAGCCCACAGCTGGTGGCCTCTGGGTGGGAGGTGTCCCCAGTGCAGAGCCAGAGCCCCCTTGCAGTGTGAGCAGGGCAGTGGAGCAGGGAATGTCCCAGCCGTGCTGGCCACGGGCACGGAGGGCGCTGCGATTCCTCCTGTGCTGCAGCCCGGCCCCTGAGCCCCGGCAGCGCCGTGGGGCTCCCACAGGAGTCACAGCAGCCCCGCCGTGTGCGCACAGTGAGCTCGTGGGGACTGCCCCGGTGCCGAGGATGAGCCGAGCATCGTCCGGGCCCTCTGGGCACAGCCCCAGCCCGGCAGAGAAGGAAGCCTCGCTGGCCAGTGAGGAGCAGAAACAGAAGGGAGTTTCTAATGAGAGCCCCAGCAGCACCGACCGCTCCAAAGTTATCATCGCAAACGAACAACCCCGTCCAAGGGAGTCAGGAGCCTCCAACGGGGAAAAACTAAATGCCATCAAAAATTAATAAATTAACAATTACCAAAAAATCACATCAAACCCAAAGAGCCCCTAGGATTCCCCAGAGTTTGTTATTCACAAGAAAATGTCTGACTCCTAGAAATTACTCCACAACCTTAAAAAAAATCAACAAAATAATAGAAAACTGAGACCCCTGCAACCTAGACTTCCTTTCCTTTCAGTAATTCCAAGAAACTGGCCTCTTATTGTCACCAAGTTGAGACTGTATTTTCAACATTCCCCTACATCCAAAAATACCCCTCCATTTGCCTTTTCAGTTCCAGCCATCAATTTAAAAAAATTACAAAAACATCACTAGTCAGTTTTACTGCAAAAAATAAAAAATCACCTACTATTTGTCAATATTTTATAACAGGAGCTTTATCTCCACCACAACAAAAACAGCCACAGTCAAGAACTTTACATTACATAGACAATTTAGTCATTACCAACTCAAAAAGAAATAAAACAGATTCAAAACAACGTCATCACAGACGCTCAAAACACTAAATTAAAAAGTTCTACATCACAGAAATTAAAAAGTTCTTCATCAAAAATGCAAGAAATCCCACCTTAAAAATATTTCAGATAAAAGATAACAAAACAATCAAGCCACAGAATGTACAGCTCCCAACCAGTGCCAAGACCTTACAACATTTACAACTTCTCCTCCAGTTTTAATTTAAAACTGAGACAAGACAAATTAAAAATCCATTTCATTTAATAACCCAAGACAAGAAATTTACTTCTCTTTCCACAAATACTAAACCTAAGTAGATTCCAACAGAAACATAAAACCATATCCCACATAAAACCACACTAACAATTCCACAAACAAAACCACAACCACACAGATGTAAGGCACACAGAAAAACTACAGTTCACACCCAGCATCCCCTCCCCAACCTGCACAAACTGCAAACCTCAACTTTTATATCAATGGTAAAACTATAAAAATCCTTCATATCACAGAGCTCTTTTAGCAAAGGCATAGTATCCATCATGTTAAAAAAACATCCCTAAATATCCAACTTTACAAAACAAAGTATAAACAAAACAATTTAGTGCCTTAGAATGAACCAGTACTGAAAAAATTTGACAAACCACAAAAAATAAATACTCCAATAAATTTATTAAAAAATTTAAATGTCACAGACATCTTTTATGAAAAATCCTTTCCTTAGGATTGTTCCTCCTGAGAAGCTGAGAGGCCTCAGGAACAAAATGCAACCAATGGTTATCTGCAGCTGTGGAATGCAACAGGTGCATCTGGGATTGGCTCATGGGGTTGTTTCTAATTAATGGCCAATCACAGCCCAGCTGGCTCAGACAGAGAGTCCAAGACAGAGCCTTTGTTATCATTCTTCCTTTTCTATTCTTAGCCAGCCTTCTGATGAAACCTTTTCTTCTATTCTTTTAGTATAGCTTTAATGTAATATAGATCATGAAATAATAAATCAGCCTTCTGAAACATGGAGTCAGATCCATGTTTCTCTTCCCTCAACATAAGACCCCTGTGAACACGGTCACATTAAAATACATAAAAAACCTTTTACCAAGAGTAACTAAACAAGAACATAAAGGTAAATAAAAAAATATAGTAGCAGTTGTTAGTTTTACTTATTTTTACAACACAAATACACCTATAAATCAACCAAAACCAAATGCTTAAATTACCCTGAGTCAACAAGTTCAAACACCAAATATTTAACCCATTTCAGCCCAAACAAACCCTTTACAACCTATTTAATCACTACACTGATACCAACCCAAAAATAACCAACTCCAAACCCTGACAGCTCTGAGGGTACAGTCACCAACCAAACAAATCCTGTACCCAATTACATCACTGAACCCCCAATCTTCTTAAAACACCCTTTAAACCTCAACAATTAAACACTCTAAATTCTTTAACAATCAGATTTTGTACTAAGCTTCAGTATCAAAGAAATCTACAGTTAATATTACTCCTCATCATCCTATATAGAAAACCTCAAGCTTTTAGTACAATTAAAGAACTCCTCGGCCCCCTAAAAATAAAACAATTAATCTTAACAAATTCCCATAGAAATTGAAAAAAAAATTAACTCATGGAAAAAAAAAACAACCTAGGAAAACGTTCCCTCAAAAATTAAAAATAGCCCACATAACATTAAACAACTCACTATAATAACACCTAATATTGAAAAAAAAATAAAAACTGTAAAAACGTCAACCCATCATTATTAAAAAAATCTGCAATAACAATTTTAAACCCGACAAAACGAGTTACATTAAATTTCTTTTTACCACAACTCACCTTTACTATAACATTAAAACAATAAAACCAGAGTATTAATTGGACAAAACAAATCAATACTACTTCATTTTTAACAATATAATAACAAATATTGGTACTATTAAACATACAGCCTTACAAAACAAAACCACCATCAATTTTCTCTTACTAGCACATCAACTTAATAACAAAAGAAATTAAAAATAATATTACATAAACTTATTGTACATCCATCCACAAACAACTTCAAAAACGAAAAAACTTAACAAACCAAATTAAAATAAATATTAAAATTTAAACTTTCAAAATTATTTTAAAATAAAACACAACTTTTACACCTTATCTAAAAAAACTTTACAAATTAAATTTCCACATATTAATTATTATAATACCGGTACTTATATACTTCACTCTACACAACGAAAAATAAATCAGACCTCAAAAAAGTTTCTAGTTGTTTGTATGCTGTGTTGTACACACTAGTAAAGAACTGTTCTTCTATTCTAATGTCTTTGCCTGAGAGCCCCATAATTTCAGAATTCCGAGGCAAGGGGTTTACATTTTCCATTGCCAGGGAGGCTCCTGCCTTCCTCAGCAGATCCCGGTCTTGAACCAATACAGCCCCAGAACATCGCTCTGTGCCACTGTGTGGGGAGTAGGGAGGGAGGGAATCGGGGATAAAGTGAAGCCAGAAAGGAGAGAGCAGCGAGGGGAAGGTGCAATTTAAGGTTTTGGCAGCCTACTCATTCCCTTGCTCTGATTTGTTTGATAGTAAATTCTATTAATTTCCTCAGTTCTGCTATGCCCATGATGGGTGAGAGATCTCTGGCTGCCCTTACTGAGAGCCCCGAGCCTTTCCTGCTGTGTTCTGTTGCCTGCCCAGGGGCAGGAGCAGAGGCACAGAGCGCTTTTGCTGGCCCCAGGCACCTGGACGGACCCAGCCCGAGAATCCCTGCGGGAATTCCCTGTTGAGAGCCCCAGGAGCGGCTGCCCTGGGGCTGAACTTCTACTCCAGCCACAACAGAGCGGGGACTTTCCCGTACCGCGGTGTTTCACAGGCAGGACCGACCGGGGACAGCTCATCTCACTCACCTGATCGCCCCGCTCGCTCCGCCCCTCTCGCTGCGGATTGGCGGCTTCGGAAAAACGTCACGCGCCCGGTGAGTCGGTCCTGTGGCTCAGGGTGTCATTTACGCGCGTTCGGGTCACTCTGCAGCGGCCGCGGCGGCACCCGGAGCCCGGCGAGGCGGCGGCGGAGCTCGGAGGCGGCTCCAGGCCAGGTGGGAGCCGCGGTCGGTGCTGCCCCAGCTCGGGGCTCGCTGCGGGCGGAGGGGCCGCGCTGAGGGCCGGGGGGTTCTGGCGAGTTCCTGGGGGCGGCTTCCCCCGTGTCCCCCCTGCGCTGGGATCGCCGAGGGAGCGGCTGCCCGCGCTCTCCTCCTTGCCCGGATGGCCGGCATGGAACCGGTGCCGCGGCAGCGCTGGCTCATCCCGGCTGCTCTCGCTGGCACGGAGGCGGCTGCTCCGTGCCCGGCACCGTTCCCGCCCGTGCGGCACCGGGCTCGGGGCCGCTGCTCGGGGGGAAGGTGTCCGTGCCCGGCTCGGGGCTGGCACGGGATGAACTTGAACGGGCCTCAGAGCCCAAAGCGCTGCAGGCGCCGAGTGCGGGCACAAAGCGCCGCATCCTGCCTGCTCCGGGGCCGAGGCTGCTCGGCGCTGCCCTCGGTACCGGGACCCGCTCCGTGTCCGCAGGCAGGGAGCCGCAGCGGCCGTGCCGACGCTCGGTGTGCCCGGGCTCCAAGGCGCCGGGGCAGGGAATGCGGGGCACAATGGTGAGCAGCCCGGGGCTGCTGCTTCTTGCCCCTCGGCAGGGCCGGGCTCCGAGCCGCAGCTGCCCCGGGCCAGCAGCAGCCGGCAGCTCGCAGGCGCTGTCAGCGCCCGGCCCGGCACGGAGCTGGGCTGCAGCGGCTGCAGAGCCACAGGGGCCGGGGCTGCGGGCACCGAGAGCTCCCGGAGGCTGCGCTTGTCTCCGCAGCTGCTGCCGCACCTCTGGGCAGCGGGGACAGCACAGCCACAGCTGCCACCGCCCTCCTGAGCCCCCAGCGCCGGCACCAGCAGTGACCTCTCCCCGTGTCCCTTTCAGGGTGCCATCAGCGCGGCTGTGAAGCTGTTCCCGAAGCCGAGCTCCCAAAGGATCTGCCAGCAGCACTCCTGATGTGTCAGGAGCAAGGTGCTGATTGTTCAAGGCAGAGAGATGCCGGCTGTGAGCAGGACGAGAGTGAACTCTGCTCCATTCGTGCAGTTGCGAATGAGCCCCAGCATCGCCAGCAGGGACCAGCAGCCGCGGTTCCACACCTGCCTGGGGCCCAAGAAGCCACCTGGCATAAGCACAGGGATGCCACTTGTGAGCATGCAGTGAGTGCAGATGTGGAGAATGGATTCTGCACCAGTGATGGGAGTGTGAGGAAGATCCTGGCTCCCCAGGGCACATCAGCAACCAAGAATGAACACAAAAGGAACCTCAGAAGATTCCTGGGTGAGTGCAGGGCCACGCCTTTGGCCTCCAGGGTGGGGACAGTGTCCCCTGCCAAGGGCAGGGCTGGCAGGCGTGTGGCTGTTTCCCGATGTCTGGCAGAGGCCTGGTGCTCTGCTGGGCCCCATCAGTGGCTGGAAGCAAGAGCCCCAGCTGCCCCCAAGGCTGTGCAGTTCTCCTGCTGCAGCCTGGGCCCACAGCTGTGTCCCTGCCTGTGGCCACAGCTGTGTCCCTGCCTGTGGCCAGGCTCTTGGCTCTCTGGCTGCCAGCTGAGTGAGGCCCACACTGGCTCAGGGCTCCCTGCTCTGCTCCCTGGCCATGGGCTGAGCAGATTGCAGGCCCGGCTCTGCTTCTGGCAGCCAGCAGCTCTTTCCTGCTCCAGGTGAATGGTTCAGGGGCCATCCCGTGGGCACGGCGGTGCTGATTCTGCTGCTCCTGGTGCTGGTGCTGGCTTTGGGGGTGGCCTTGGCTGTGCTGGCAGGTAAGGGAGGGGCAGCAGCCTGGGCCCAGCCCCTCGGGGCAGAGCGGGCTCCCTGCTCCCTGCACAGGGGAATCCTCAGACCTTCTCCTCTTCCCCCTGCAGCACCACAGGTTCCAGTCACAGCTGCGACTCCGCTGTTGGTTCTGGGCTGTCCCCGTGGCTGGGTTGGCTACAATGGGGTCTGCTACTACTTCTCCAGGAATTACAGCACCTGGGAGCAGGGTCAGGAACGGTGCTCCGAGTTCGGGGCCTCCCTGGCCATTGCCAAGGATGAGGAGGCCATGGTGAGTGAGGGGCTGCGGGCGGTGTGGGGTGGCTGAGGGCAGCCTGGGGGTGCTCCTGGGCCGGGCTCGGTGCTCGTAGGGCCGGGGCCGCAGCCCTGGGCCGGGGCCTTGCAGGGAAGGAGCCCCGGCGTGCGGGGGGAGCCCCGGGCCCGTGTCTCCCCGAGGGGCCGGGGCAGCTCCCACTCCTCTCTCCTGGGCAGGATTTGCTCTTCCGCCTCCGTGGGAACGTCGATTTCTGGCTCGGGCTGCGCAGACGGGGCGAGCACCTGCACTGGGGGGATGGCAGCAGCTACAGCTCCCGGTGAGTGCCGGGGAGCCGGGCAGGGCCTGGGGGCACAGGGGCACAAGGGCTGCCCCTGGCAGCCAGCGCTGGCTCTGCTCCTCCCTGCAGGGTTCCTGTCCTCGGCAATTCCCAGTGTGTGTACCTGGCTGACCGGAATAGATTCAGGAGTGAGATGTGCTCAAGTAAGCGGCCATATCTCTGCAGCAAGGCCCAAGCTCCCCTGTAACAGGGGCTGCAGAAAGGACCTTCTCCACACTGGGCAGTGCCAGCTTCACATGGAAATTTGAGTGGAAAACAACTGCAATTTCTAATAAAGAATTCTCATCAATGTAAGGTCTCCTGTTTTCTAAAGAAGTTTTGTTTCAGTCAGACAGAAAATCACTTTCTGATGTACAGCAGTCACTGCTGACTTAAGGCACACTTTTACAAGGCATATATTCAGTTTTCTACAGCAGTGCTAGAGATTCTAGGAGCATCTGAATCCCTGCAGTGTAACAAAGCCTTTGAGACCCAGCTGTCAGAGGGCAGCCACGGGCAGGAAGGCAGCTGCACCTGGTTAGCAGGAGATTAAATTGGAACCATAAAGGCAAGTTCACTTTTTAGGCAGATAATGTCTCATCCTGTCGTCCCCTTGGTTTTCTGCTGGGTAAACATCATGACTGGAGCTACTGACAGTGCCACGGGAAGAGCTGGGAGCTCCTGGCCAAGGGTGGATTTGCTGCTTCTGACACTGCTAAACTATCCCATGGCTCCCCTGGGGTCCAGAAACTTCTGCTAGAAACTTTGTTAGAAAAACTACTGCAGTCTTTTCTAGGCATCTTTTCCTTTGGGATCCTCCTAACAGTTCTGAGTTAGCTCCCTGGCCTCACTGCATCCGTTTCTAAATTCAGCTCTTAGGTAGAAGGATCCTTCCAAGCCAAAAGGATTTCTGAAGCAGTCCTAACCTGCAGCACCTGGGTGCCTTCAGGCCATCCATCCAAAAGGAAAAGTGACTTCTGGACCCTGAGAGAGCCCAGTGATCTCTTGGCGGGAGAAATCAGGAGTGGAGAAGGTGATTCCAGCTCTGCTGGTTGCTGTTCCTCCCCATTAGACAGGAGAGGATCAAGCACATTCCATCAGCCTTTGCTTCCTCAGGGCCTGAAACCCTGAGGAGACAAGGCCACCTCAGGGCCATCAGATCCCACCAGGGAGAAGGAAATGCTAAAAACATCACCATGGTCTCAGCCAACAAAATGAGGAACTTTTCTTGTGGGTCCCCAACACCATTTCCAACAAATCCCAGCTGGTTTTGAAAATCACATTCAGGGGGCAAAACCAATAACGAATCACAGGCACCTGAGGTAAAATTAGGGACACATAAAAGAAATTTCTCTTTGTTTTTAACAGAGGCAGATTTTCCTCTTTTAAGCCCAAATCTTCTCTGACACACAGAAGAACATTAAATACAGAAACAGTTCCAACTTGAAACATTTGCTTTTTGGCAATTCTATTTGTTCATGAAGCGTGGCTGTATGAACACTACTGAAGCACACAAATACCGAGACTACTACTGCAACTGCAGAAATGACTGAAATTCTCTTCTACTGGCAGCAAGAGTAAACATGTCTAAAGGTTCCTTTGTATGGAGAGCAGCTACAAGGAATGGTTTTGACATCAAAATCAACTGGAAAACAACGATTTCAGGAAAAGTGTTAAAGAAACCAACACTATTTCAGATATTTTCTCCGTCAATTTTTTAGGATGAGTCACACAAACTTGACTGCCTGAGGTAGTAAGAGAGAATTCAATTACACTGTAAGATTTGGCTTGTTTGGGGAAAGGAGGGAGCAGCAGAAGCTTAGCAAAGCTTTGCCAACTTTCTATTCTCTCAAAGAGAATAAAATAAAAGTGACTACAGTATTGACCTTCTAGTACTACTGACAGTATTGCTACAAGAGATTATTGTTGTATCTGTCAGCTGCTGGCTCTCTCTCAGCTTTGAAGGAGGATGGTCAGAGCTGTTTCTTTGGGGAAGGGAATTCACTGCCAGTGCCATAACCAGTCCAAACCTGCTGCTTCTGCCTTCTCCCTCAGTCCAAAATCAGCCAGGCCTTGCCATTGCACACTCACCTGGAGATCCTCCTGTTTGGGACTTGGCCCAACTGTGACTCAGACTCAGCTGGGTTTTACCCCAAAAGAGCCAGGCATTGGCTTCCAGCCCTGGGAATCATTTGTTTAATTCAGGGCCTGAGAGTTCCCCCATCAGCCTTTGGTGTTTTTATGTTAAGTTGCCCAAGTTCTGCTCTCCTCCTGGTTACTTGTTTCCCCCGTAGGGTTACAGTTCTAGAATGTTCCACCCTGAGTGTATCCATTGTTGCTTCCCCTTTGTTTGGGGTCTTTGGATCCTGCCCCTCTTATTGTGCACGGCTGCTCCAGGTTTGTTGTTTCTCACCCTTTATGAAAGTTCTTTCTGGGCAGCTCCATGGAACCCGCTCCTTTTCATTTCCACCACCCTCGCCTGAAGTCAGGGAACCAGAGAGGTTTGTCACAGCCACCCTCACTGTGACACTTACAGAAAAGCCTTTAAAAATACTTTTTGTATAAATATTGCATTATTCAGACATTCTTTTGGAGCCAATTCCCCTTTCTTTTTGTTTTAAAAATAACATGCATGTCCCTTGCTATGGTCATGAAGGGAACATCAAAACAAAACAATACATGCAGTGAAACAAGAAACTGACAGTAATCAAGAATAAGTCAGATAATAAACATAATTAATAACACTTGTGAAATTGGATGGTCATCAATGTCTAAAACACTGCACCATCACCCAGAGCCTGCAGCAGCTGCCAAACCTCATTTCAGTGAGGACCTGGAGAGCCATTCCCAGGAAAGGTGTCCAAGCTCACTTTTAAAATAGATCCAGCTGTCCTATTGTTAGAGGGTCAAATTGCCAAGGCCAAGAGACTTGAATATAGTTTTGAGGCAGAGAAAACATCTGGGCTTGTTGGCAATTTTCTGACCAGGCAGAGCCAGGGCCTGGCCAGAGCCCAGACCCTCATTGGGAGGGTCTCCCTCACATACCTTAAAAAGAAATCTCTCAATAATAGCAGCTATGAGATGCCCCAAACACAGCAAACTGCTGGAGTGCTCCTGTGAGAATAACTGGGGCTGTGTGTGATTGGCACAGAGCAGGAGCAGCCTTGCCCTCAGCAGGTCACAGCCCTGGCCCACGAGGATGGGTCACAAAAGGGTCGGGAAAGGCCACAGGACCTCAGCTCAGATGAGGCTTTTGACAGAGCCCAGAGATCTCATCCTGGAACTCTGAAAACACAGGAAAATCAGGAGACAGCCCTGGCTGAAGGCACAGCAACCCTGCTGGAACAAGAGAAGGGACTAAAGGCTGAGCAGGCAGCGCAGGGAACGGCTGCAGACAGCCTGTTCAAAGAGAGGCATCTGCAGCTGGAGAGCAAAACAGAGAGATCCCAAAGTGACACCATGTCTTGTGCATAGTCACACAAAGATAGCTCAAAGTTCATGAAAAGCCAGCTATGAGTAAGGTAATGGTGTCTTACGAAGAATGCCTGTTATCAAAATGAGTGAATTCACATGATGGAACCGATCCATCAGCAGTGACTGTCTCAGGAATTGGAGCCAATATTCTTCCAGCATTGCTGTACCCACAACAATGGGACACTGAACAGCTTCCAGTGGCTAACAGCCATCATGTAGAACAACCACCCTCTCTCCTGTGCTATCTGTGGAAGATGGAACAGAAGAGATCACAGTGAATGATCCTGTCAGGCAGTGCAGCACTGACACCTGTGCAAGCTGTGAGAGGATCAAGGGCCCAACAAGCTGTAGCTTCTCCTGTCCAAAAGCAGGTGCTTATCAGTGTTTCATCACAGCTGTTTCAGTGGCATCTGTCTTATCTCTAGAAGAAAATAAACACATCTTGCAATGTAATGAAACATATTTAAACCAAATTAACTTAGGACTTGAAATTAATTGCAGAGTAATTCAGAGTCACCTCAGTGGCATTGGAGGTACACTTAAGAGAATTTAAAGTAACACCTTCAATACTGAATAAAAATTGATCTTAATAAAACTGGAATGGAACATGAAATGGCTTAAAGTGAAGGAGACAGAAACTTGACCTCCTTCAAACTCAGCAACACTCAAATCTGACAGAAATCCACCTCAACATAAAGGACTCTAAACAAAATTAACTCAATAGAGTAATAAAACATAACATTACTCAGATCTCACTTGGCTTAATTTTTCCAACACTAAAATCACATTCAAATAAACCAGAACTGAAGTAACAATCAATATCCTTAAAAGTTCTGGGTACTACAAAATGTAACTTACTCTGATGCTATTAATACCAAAAGGCACTGAAAATGTGAACAAAGCGTGGCTGAAATAACGGCCTGATGGATTTACTGGAGGGGTTAGAAAAGTGTGACAAATATGCTGACCCTGTGTAATTTAACATTGAGAAAAACTCATGGCAGCCACAAATTGTATGGAACCATAAATTTCCTCAGACCTTTTAAAGTGCAATTGTACCGAAAGAAATAACAACGTAGAATTTGTCAAAGTGTCCAACAAAGCGGGAGCTTCTCGAGTTTGTATTTAGTGTAATAGCATATGCTAAATGTTAGCAGCATTTCTGTTAAAGAAATTCGATTGTGTCGTGCTGCACATGATAATAATAATGAAGCACTGCATTTACCGCTTTGAATCTCTCTGGTAACAATTCTCAGTGAAATCAGTTAGTGAAAAACTCAAGGTTAACTTTAAGAAGCATTTCAGGCCATGTTTACGGCATTGTAGGACACGGTGCGTGAGGCTTCAGTAACCAGGGGCAGTCAGAGCCCTTGGGGCAAATGCCGGGGGTTCGCCCCGCCGCAGGGTTGGGGAGCCACGGTGGGGGAGTGAGTTCTGCCGGGGCCAGCCGGAGCCGCCGGGCAAAGCCGAGCCCCGGGAGCGGGGAAAGCCCCGGCGGCAGCGAGGGAACAGCAGAGCTGGGACCCGCTCGGGGTGAGGCGGAGCAGCCCCGCGATTTTCCACTGCACTCAGCCGAGCCAAAGGGGCTGGGGTTCTGATCCCCGAATCCGCGCTGGCAGCGGCGGGAGGCGGCAGAACGGTGAAGGAACCGATACCGGAAAAGGCAGCGGGGACCGGGGCGGGGGGAGAGGGGGCGGGTGGGGGTGCAAGACGGGCGCGCCACGGCTGCGAGCGGCGCATGCGAGCAGCGCTCCCGGGCCGCGATTGGCTGAGCTCCCGAACGCTGATTGGCCAAACCGGCCGGAACCCGCACCCCCTCCGTCAATTCAAGTTTTTTTGGCGCCAGCGGCCGCTCCGGGTTAACCTGGTCCGCGCCGCAGTAGCGTGGCCGTGCCCGTTCGTGACGTCCCGGAGCTGCAGCATCATCACCGTCATCATCAACCGAAGCCTCGTGAGGAGATGGTGGAGCTCGGAGGCGGCTCTAGCCCCGCTGCGACCCACGGTCGGTGCTGCCCCAGCTCGGGGCTCGCTGCGGGAGGAGGGGTCGCGGTGAGGGCCGGGGGGGTTCTGGTGAGTTCCTTGTACCGGGTTCCCCCGTTCACTGGTGTGAAAAACAGAAATCACTGCTTAGTGTTTTTGAAAGTTTAACAATAGTAATTATAGTAATAGGATATAAAAGGACAATATTTCCAGCACTGGGGGCTTCTAACAAACAGCCAAGAAATACACCAGGATATACAGACAATGTTATATTTTTACTGTTACCTCGCTAAGACCCATGCACGTTCATGTCTTTCATGCATTATTCAACCATTGTTTCGAAGTTTCTGATGTTTCTGGAACTCCTTTTTCTGACTTCTTCACACTCTGGCTTATCTGTATGACATCCTGGGTGTTAGGTCAATATATTTTATTTCTTCTGGTGCCTCCATCTTGCTGTTTCACATCCTCTGCTAAGATTTTAGCTGTACTCCTTATTTTAACGTGGTATTCTATGATTGTCCTCCGGTGCTCTGGTTTGTGTCTCGGTTATCTTAATCACTTGTGTGAGAAACTACTGCTCACTTTGAAAATTTAAAAAGGTTTATTAAACCGTTACAAAAATACAACAGAGGACTACATAAGGGAAAAGCTGCAGTGCTGGGAACTGCCCTCGTGGATAGCACTTGGCCAGTTCATCATCAAGGTGGATGCTCAGTCTTTTATACCCCTGGGGGTTGCATCAGGCAGCCCTGGCCCCTCTGTCAGAGGGGCTTCTTTGCCATTCATCAGTTCAGACTGCTTTCTTGTAACTGCATTGGAGATCAGGTGTTGCCATGCCCACCTCCTAAAAGCTCCAAGCTTTTCCATTCCCACCTGTCCCATGCAAGGGGCACATGTACAGCCTCCTTTGTACCTGTCCTAGACAGCCCTGGCTGTGTCATGGCAGCAATACAGGGGGGAAAGGGAACTGTGGGGAGAACAGAGGACATCTAAACCACAATAACATAACTATACACCACTAAAGCTTCTCTTAATATTCACACAATAGTTATCTTTTAATTGCGAGAGCCAATCATCTCACAATTTATAACAATAGGATGGGTCAGTCAGTGGATGGCCTTACACTGATTTTAGTTACACAAAAGCCTTTTTCACATCGGATGTTTTGCTAAGGTCTATAACACAGTACATTCTTCACACTGGCATTTCCATAGGTGATACATAGATATTATATTCGTTGCACTACTATTTCTATGAGCAATACACTGCATAATTAAGCTGATATAATATATTATACTAGCATCCACCTAAGAAGAGTTATAACTGATACCAAATAGTTACAATCACTAACAACATGCACAGGCTAATACATAAATATGAAAGCCAAAACTCCCTGGTCATTTTTCCCACAGGCAGGGAGCCGCAGCGGCCGTGCCGGCGCTCGGTGTGCCCGGGCTCCAAGGCGCCGGGGCAGGGATTGCGGGGCACAATGGTGAGCAGCCCGGGGCTGCTGCTTCTTGCCCCTCGGCAGGGCCGGGCTCCGAGCCGCAGCTGCCCCGGGCCAGCAGCAGGCGGCAGCTCGCAGGCGCTGTCAGCGCCCGGCCCGGCACGGAGCTGGGCTGCAGCGGCTGCAGAGCCACAGGGGCCGGGGCTGCGGGCACCGAGAGCTCCCGGAGGCTGCGCTTGTCTCCGCAGCTGCTGCCACACCTCTGGGCAGCGGGGACAGCGCAGCCACAGCTGGCACCGCCCTCCTGAGCCCCCAGGGCCGGCACCAGCAGTGACCTCTCCCCGTGTCCCTTTCAGGGTGCCATCAGCGCGGCTGTGAAGCTGTTCCCGAGGCCGAGCTCCCAAAGGATCTGCCAGCAGCACTCCTGATGTGTCAGGAGCAAGGTGCTGATTGTTCCAGGCAGAGAGATGCCGGCTGTGAGCAGGAGGAGAGTGAACTCTGCTCCATTCGTGCAGTTGCAAATGAGCCCCAGCATCCCCAGCAGGGACCAGCAGCCGCGGTTCCACACCTGCCTGGGGCCCAAGAAGCCACCTGGCATCAGCAGGGGGATGCCACTTGTGAGTGTGCAGTGAGTGAAGATGTGGAGAATGGATTCTGCACCAGTGATGGGAGTGTGAGGGAGAGCCTGACTCCCCAGGGCACATCAGCAACCAAGAATGAACTCAAAAGGAACCTCAGAAGATTCCTGGGTGAGTGCAGGGCCACCCCTGTGGCCTCTAGGGTGGGGCCAGTGTCCCCTCCCAAGGGCAGGGCTGGCAGGTGTGTGGCTGTTTCCCGATGTCTGGCAGAGGCCTGGTGCTCTGCTGGGCCCCATCAGTGGCTGGAAGCAAGAGCCCCAGCTGCCCCCAAGGCTGTGCAGTTCTCCTGCTGCAGCCTGTGCCCACAGCTGTGTCCCTGGCTGTGCCCACAGCTGTGTCCCTGCCTGTGGCCAGGCTCTTGGCTCTCTGGCTGCCAGCTGAGTGAGGCCCACACTGGCTCAGGGCTCCCTGCTCTGCTCCCTGGCCATGGGCTGAGCAGATTGCAGGCCCGGCTCTGCTTCTGGCAGCCAGCAGCTCTTTCCTGCTCCAGGTGAATGGATCAGGGGCCATCCCGTGGGCACGGCGGTGCTGATTCTGCTGCTCCTGGTGCTGGTGCTGGCTTTGGGGGTGGCCCTGGCTGTGCTGGCAGGTAAGGGAGGGGCAGCAGCCTGGGCCCAGCCCCTCGGGGCAGAGCGGGCTCCCTGCTCCCTGCACAGGGCAATCCTCAGACCTTCTCCTCTTCCCCCTGCAGCACCACAGGTTCCAGTCACACCTGCAACCTCACAGTGTGTTCTGGGCTGTCCCTTTGACTGGGTTGGGTTCATGGGGGTCTGCTACTACTTCTCAAGGGATTACAGCACCTGGGATCAGGGTCAGGAACGGTGCTCCGAGCTCGGGGCCTCCCTGGCCATTGCCAAGGATGAGGAGGCCATGGTGAGTGAGGGGCTGCGGGCGGTGTGGGGTGGCTGAGGGCAGCCTGGGGGTGCTCCTGGGCCGGGCTCGGTGCTCGTAGGGCCGGGGCCGCAGCCCTGGGCCGGGGCCTTGCAGGGAAGGAGCCCCGGCGTGCGGGGGGAGCCCCGGGCCCGTGTCCCCCCGAGGGGCCGGGGCAGCTCCCACTCCTCTCTCCTGGGCAGGATTTGTTCTCCCGCCTCTGTGGGAACGTCGATTACTGGCTCGGGCTGCGCAGACGGGGCGAGCGCCTGCACTGGGGGGACGGCAGCAGCTACAGCTCCCGGTGAGTGCCGGGGAGCCGGGCAGGGCCTGGGGGCACAGGGGCACAAGGGCTGCCCCTGGCAGCCAGCGCTGCCTCTGCTCCTCCCTGCAGGGTTCCTGTCCTCGGCAATTCCCAGTGTGTGTACCTGGCTGAGAAGAGATTGAGGAGTGACAACTGCTCCAATGAGCGGCCGTATCTCTGCAGCAAGGCCCCAGCTCCCCTGTAACAGGGGCTGCAGAAAGGAGCTTCTCCACACTGGGCAGTGCCAGCTTCACCTCTGAGCCCAGCACAGCGCTGTCCTTCCTCAGCTGCACCCTGTGCCTTGCCCTTCCTCTCAGGGTCACCTCAGTGCCTCTTCATGCCCAGTGCCAACGCTGGGCTGGGGCTGCAAAGGAAAAGTCTCTGCAATCCATCCTGCCACCGCTGCTGCCTGCAGTGACTGCATAGCCCCCATGACACAACAAGCTCCAATGGGAAATCCAAATCGCCCTGGGCTCTTGGAATTGATCATAAGGTAGCCTGAACTTGGCACTTTATGACTGGCTTTGGAAGAGGAAGAAGAACAGCCGGCACGTGCTGAGGAGGAATCCCACTTTTGGCATCAGGTACCTGACTGTGGAGAAGGGTCTGTCAGCTGCTGGCTCTCTCTCAGCTTTGAAGGAGGATGGTCAGAGCTGCTGCCTTGGGGAAGGGAATTCACTGCCAGTGCCATAACCCAGTCCAAACCTGCTGTTTCTGCCTTCTCCCTCAGTCCATAAATCAGCCAGGCCTTGCCATTGCACACTCACCTGGAGATGCTCCTGTGTGGGACTTGGCCCTGCTGTGACTCAGACTCAGCTGGATTTTACCCCAAAAGAGCCAGGCATTGGTTTCCAGCCCTGGGAATCATTTGTTTAATTCAGGGCCGGACTGACACTTCCCCCATCAGCCTTTGGTGTTTTTATGTCAAGTTGCCCAAGTTCTGCTCCCCTCGTGCTTCCTTGTTTCCCCCGTAGGGTTACAGTTCTAGAATGTTCCACCCTGAGTGTATCCATTGTTGCTTCCCCTTTGTTTGGGGTCTTTGGATCCTGCCCCTCTTATTGTGCACGGCTGCTCCAGGTTTGTTGTTTCTCACCCTTTATGAAAATTCTTTCTGGGCAGCTCCATGGAACCCGCTCCTTTTCATTTCCACCACCCTCGCCTGAAGTCAGGCAACCAGAGAGGTTTGTCACAGCCACCCTCACTGTGACACTTACAGAAAAGCCTTTAAAAATACTTTTAGTATAAATATTGCATTAATCAGACATTCTTTAGGAGCCAATTCCCCTTTCTTTTTGTTTTAAAAATAACATGCATGTCTCTTGCTATGGACATGAAGGGAACATCAAAACAAAACATGCAGTGAAACAAGAAACTGACAGTAATCAAGAATAAGTCAGATAATACCCATAATTAATAACACTTGTGAAATTGGATGGTCATCAATGTCTAAAACACTGCACCATCACCCAGAGCCTGCAGCAGCTGCCAAACCTCATTTCAGTGAGGACCTGGAGAGCCATTCCCAGGAAAGGTGTCCAAGCTCACTTTAGAAATAGATCCAGCTGTCCTATTGTTAGAGGGTCAAATTGCCAAGGCCAAGAGACCTGAATATCGTTTTGAGGCAGAGAAAACATCTGGGCTTGTTGGCAATTTTCCAACCAGGCAGAGCCAGGGCCTGGCCAGAGCCCAGACCCTCATTGGGAGGGTCTCCCTCACATACCTTAAAAAGAAATCTCTCAATAATAGCAGCTATGAGATGCCCCAAACACAGCAAACTGCTGGAGTGCTCCTGTGAGAATAACTGGGGCTGTGTGTGATTGGCACAGAGCAGGAGCAGCCTTGCCCTCAGCAGGTCACAGCCCTGGCCCACGAGGATGGGTCACAAAAGGGTTGGGAAAGGCCACAGGACCTCAGCTCAGATGAGGCTTTTGACAGAGCCCAGAGATCTCCTCCTGGAACTCTGAAAACACAGGAAAATCAGGAGACAGCCCTGGCTGAAGGCACAGCAACCCTGCTGGAACAAGAGAAGGGACTAAAGGCTGAGCAGGCAGCGCAGGGAACGGCTGCAGACAGCCTGTTCAAAGAGAGGCATCTGCAGCTGGAGAGCAAAACAGAGAGATCCCAAAGTGACACCATGTCTTGTGCATAGTCACACAAAGATAGCTCAAAGTTCATGAAAAGCCAGCTATGAGTAAGGTAATGGTGTCTTATGAAGAATGCCTGTTATCAAAATCAGTGAATTGACATGATGGAACCGATCCATCAGCAGTGACTGTCTCAGGAATTGGAGCCAATATTCTTCCAGCATTGCTGTACCCACAACAATGGAACACTGAACAGCTTCCAGTGGCTAACAGCCATCATGTAGAACAACCACCCTCTCTCCTGTGCTATCTGTGGAAGATAGAACAGAAGAGATCACAGTGAATGATCCTGTCAGGCAGTGCAGCACTGACACCTGTGCAAGCTGTGAGAGGATCAAGGGCCCAACAAGCTGTAGCTTCTCCTATCCAAAAGCAGCTGCTTATCAGTGTTTCATCACAGCTGTTTCAGTGGGATCTCATCTCTAGAAGAAAAGAACTACATCTTGCAATGCAAACCAACATATTTAAAGAAAATTAACTTAGGACTTGAAATTAATTGCAGAGTAATTCAGAGTCACCTCAGTGGCATTAGAGGTACACTTAAGAGAACTTGTTAATCTCTTTAATACTGAAAAAAATTGATCTTAGTAAAACTGGAATGGAACATGAAAAGGGTTAAAGTGAAGACAGAATCTTGACCTTGTCTAAACTCAGCAACCCTCACCCCTGACAGAAATCCACCTTGACATAAATGAGTCTTAACAAAATTCAATAGAGTAATAAAACATAACATTACTCAGGTCTGACTTTGCTTAAGTTTTGCAACACTAAAGTCATATTCAAATAAAACAGAACTGAACTAACAATCAATATCCTTAAAAGTTCTGGGTCCTACAAAATGTAACTTATTCTGCTGCTATTAATATCAAAAGGCACTGAAAATGTGAACTAAGCATGGCTGATATAACAGCATGATGGATTTACTGGAGGGATGAGGAAAGTGTGAAAAATGCATGTATTTTATGATTGGCTGTTTGTAAATATTAAAATGAATATTATATGTGTTGTGTTAGAAAGTAATGCTATATTAATTCTCTTAAGTACTGTGTTAAATATAGTTTTAGGTTATTGTTAAAATAGAAACGATGCTATGTAGGATACTCTTTTTAAAAAGAAAGGACACGCAGTGAGATAGCAGCCACAGGACACCTGAATCTCTCAGAGAAGAAGAATTTATGGCCCTCTTATCGTATCTTCCTCTTATCAGAAGAAACGAACTTGTTCCCGCCTTGAAGGCGCTGTTAGGATTTGGGGGAAGAAGTTGACGATGACCAGACAGAATCCTGTGTTTGAATGTAATTTATGCATCATGTGTGAAGTGTATGAATATGCAACGGGCTATTGTTTTTAAGGTTAATCCTTTGTTAACGTGGGTCCTTTTCTGGGCTCCTGCTGCCCAGAAAAAGCTACCCGGACGTCCGTAACTCCTTGTCTTTATTGTCTCATATTGCCTTAATCCATATTGTCCAAATTATTATTACTCTAATTGTATTACTATTTTCATAACTATTTTATTACTATTAAACTTTTAAAATTTTGAAAACAAGTGATTGGCGTTTTGAACAATAAATGTACACGGCTCATAAAATTCAATCCCCCACGTGGGTAAGATGAGTCCCTGTGGACTTAACCAATATACCCAGCTATCCAGTATTCTTTGCCATATTTGCTGTCAAATCCTTGCAAAAACTAAAGCACAGGGCTGAGCACAGCTGTGACAAGCTGAAGCCCTGGCAATTCTGCTGGTTCTACATTTTAGATCAAATCCTCTTTTTCCTCGTGCAAAGGGCTCCTAAAAGATCACAGAACTTTCAGATCTTTCAGTCTAAGGAGGATGTGAAGGAAGAGTAACTTTTGTCATTGTCAGGGCTGGAGTTACAGCAGTGAAGCAGTTTGAGATCCCCAGACCACAGCCTACAGGACACTGATCCCCCTCTTTCCAAGAAAAACCTCCAGCTGCTGGTTTCTGAAAAGGAACCAACTTGATCCCATCTGCTGGGGAAACGTTTAAAGCCCAGGGAGCCCAGAACCAAAGCCCAGAGCTGCAGAGGACCCAAATGCAGCCCCACGTACCCATGGATGCGTTTATTCAGCGCGGCTCTGATGGGCTCTGCAGCCAGGAGCTCCTCGGGGCGCGTGGATAACAGAGCCAGCGCCTGGGGCACCGTGGGACAGGGAGCAGAGAGGGCCCAGCCCTGCTCCCCAGGCTCCCCCGGAGGAATGATGTGCAGCTCTCCTTTGTAAAAGAACACCTGGCAGGCAGGAAGGCTCTCATCACACAGGGCAAGAGCACTCACACACACACACAGCCATGGAACATTTCATTTCATATCCAAATGCATCGGGTTGAACACTGACAGTCTAAAGGACAAATAGAGAACCAATGCAGGAAGCAGCACAGCTTTTCTAAAAAGCTTATTTGAGATGCCAGAGACCACGACCCAACCAGGAAAAAATCCCTATTTTAACTGCAACAAATATCATCAAATACACCTTGTTTCCTTAACAACAATAATTGTTACACGTTTCTCTTCAACTAGAGAAGTGCTTCAGGAGAACCAGGATAGCCTGACTGCTTCAGAGCACCACAGGCAGTAAAAAGCAGCAGCATTTCAGCTGCCACATGCGACCTCTGCTGGTTCCTGATCCTAAGAAAAGCCCTGAATGCAACGTTCTCAACTCCCTCACTCTGTCCCCTCGAACAAAAGGAAAGCATGAGCCTGACACTCCAGGTACACACTTGCAATCCATTTGGGTGTTGTGTTCCAGCCCTTTTAACAATCTTGGAGTAAGGGAAAAATAATTAAACAATTTTTTTGCTAATGACCAAATTAATGATCTCCATTTTAATCCACTGCCATTAGCAACCATCCATATCCAGGTGCAGGTGTCTGCTCATGATTTCACCTGGACCAGACAAAGCCTGTGTCCTTACAGAGACAGCAACACTCCAGCCCTGAGCATTCCCTACTCTGAGGGCAGCAAATCCTCTGCCCTAAACACTCCACAACATGGTAGAAATAAAAAAATCCAAGTAGTTCTAGCAGAGCTGGAAAGTTCAGGTGGATTCAGGAGTGCTCCTGAAGGGAGCAACAGTCAGGGACAGACAGCACTCTGGATTTTCAGAGGCAGCCACACCACATGGCAAGAACTACAAGAGTAAACTCCAGCTGCTACATGAAAGGCCACTGGGTCCCCCTTGCCAACTGTACACAAGCTCTACTCACCCTGTTTTCACTGTTCTCAGGATTCAGCCACTTGGGCAGAAAATCAGCTGCTTCTATCAAGAGAAACTCTCCATCGTTGTCATCAATACTGGCCAAGGAGAAATTAGAAATTTAGCAGGAAAAGCCTTGCAGAGCACAACAACTCACTTCTGAATCCATGTCTGCTGGGATTTTTTTAAAATCTTCATAAACCCATAGAAAGGCTTAGGTTAGAAGGGACCTTAAAGATCAGTACCTGGTTACAACACCCTTGCCTCAGCCAGGCACACTTTCCACTAGCCCGGGCTGCTCCAAGCCCCATCCCACCTGCCCTTGGACACTTCCAAGGTGTATGGGATGGGGAAACACCTCCAAGGATGGGCAATGGTAAGACAGGACCTTCAGAGCACAGGCACTGCCCCTTTTGGCAGCCCTCCCACAAAAGCAGCTCAGCAGCACCCACCTTACCTGGCTGCCAGCCCCGGGAACTCCCTGGTGATCTCCCGGAGCAGGTACACAATGAACCACTCATCCTCCACGTTATCCCCGAACACCGTGGTGCCGCCCAAGTGCGCCGGGATCTCGCCTGCACGGCGCAGAGAGAGGACAGGCGGCTCAGCAACGCCGTGCCAGGAACAGATTGTCCACACAGGCTGCGGAGTCTCCCTCACTGCGGATATCCCAGACCCTGCTGGCAGAATCTTGTGTCCTGTGCTCGGCCATGGCCCTGCTGCTGCAGGGAGGGGGCACCAGATGCCTCACTGGGTTACCCCGTGCTGTGACACCGAGAGGCTGGGAAGCCGCCGGCTCCCCCTCACACACTCCCGGCTCCCCCTCACACGCTCCCGGTTCGAGCCCGCCGGGTCCCCCTCACACGCTCTCGGTCCCCCCTCACACGCTCCCGGTTCGAGCCCGCCGGGTCCCCCTCACACGCCGTCGGTTCCCGGCCGCCGGATCCCACTCACACGCCACAGTTCCCCCTCAGACGCTCCTGGTTCTCGGCCGCCGGGTGCCCCTCACACTCTCCCGGTCCCCACTCACACTCTCCCGGTTACTGGCCGCCGGATCCCCTTCAAATGATCCCCCGCCGGTTCCCTGTCACACGCCCTCGGGTCCCGGCCACCGGGTTCCCTTCACACTCTCCGGATTCCCGGCCGCCGGGTCCCCCTCACACGCTCTCGGGTCCCCTTGACACTCTCCCGGTTCCCCCTTATACTCTCCCGGCTCCCCCTCAAACGCTCCTGGTTCCCCCTCACACGCTCCCGGTTCCCGGCCGCCGTGTCCCCCTCCCAGTCCCCCCGCTCCGGCCGCTCCTCCCGCCGTGCCTCCCGGCCCGCTCCCGGCTCACCGCGGCCCGGCACGTAGCGCAGGCGGAACGGCTGCCGCTGCCACACGGAGGCGGCCAGGAGCGGGGCGAAGCGCACCAGGGCCAGCTCAGCGCCGGCCCCCGCAGCGCCTCCATCGCGCCGAGGCCCAAAGCGCTCCGGCCCCGTCCAAAACTCAGCAACACTCAACCCTGACAGAAATCCACCTTGACATAAATGAGTCTTAACAAAATCCAATAGAGTAAAAAACCACAAGATTATTCAGATCTCACTTTGCTTAATTCTTCCAACTAAAATAATATTCAAATAAAACATAACCGAACTAACAATCAAGATCCTTAAAAGTTCTGGGTCCTACAAAATGTAACTTATTCTGCTGCTATTAATACCAAAAGGCACTGAAAATGTGAATCAAGCATGGTTGAAATAACGGCCTGATGGATTTACTAGAGGGATTAGAAAAGTGTGACAAATATGCTGACCCTATGTAATTTAACATTGAGAAAAACTCATGGCAGCCAAATTTTATGGAACCATAAAATTACTCAGACATTTTCAAGTGCAATTGTACCGAAAGAAACAACAATGGAGAATTTGGCAAAGTGTCCAACAAACCGGGAGCTTCTCGAGATTGTATTTAGTGTAATAGCATATGGTAAATGTTATCAGCATTTCTGTTAAAGAAATTCGGTTGTGTTATGCTGCACAAAACAATAAGGCAATGGATTCACCGTTTTGAATCTCTCCGGTAAAAATTCTCAGAAAAGTATAGTTCACTAAAACCACAAGATTAAAGAAGCATTTCAGCACATGTTTACATCGTTCTAAAACAGGATCGTTGCAGTTTCCGGGGCAGTCAATTCAGGCAAATGCTTCAGTGCACTTTACGTGCACTTGAGGCGGTTCCTGCCGCCGCAGGGTTGTTTCTCTCTTCCTGCAGTCACGCGGCAGCCGAGCCCCGCGAACAAAAAGAGCCCGAGAGGCAGCGACCTCTCATTCCGGAGCGGCGGCGGCACCCGGAGCCCGGCGAGGCGGCGGCGGAGCCCGGAGGCGGCTGCAGCCCAGGTGGGAGCCGCGGTCGGTGCTGCCCCAGCTCGGGGCTCGCTGCGGGCGGAGGGGCCGCGCTGAGGGCCGGGGGGTTCTGGCGAGTTCCTGGTGGCGGCTTCCCCCGTGTCCCCCCTGCGCTGGGATCGCCGAGGGAGCGGCTGCCCGCGCTCTCCTCCTTGCCCGGATGGCCGGCATGGAGCCGGTGCCGCGGCAGCGCTGGCTCATCCCGGCTGCTCTCGCTGGCACGGAGGCGGCTGCTCCGTGCCCGGGGCCTTTCCCGCCCGTGCGGCACCGGGCTCGGGGCCGCTGCTCCGGGGGGGAGGTGTCCGTGCCCGGCTCGGGGCTGGCACGGGATGAACTTGAACGGGCCTCAGAGCCCAAAGCGCTGCAGGCGCCGAGTGCGGGCACAAAGCGCCGCATCCTGCCTGCTCCGGGGCCGAGGCTGCTCGGCGCTGCCCTCGGTACCGGGACCCGCTCCGTGTCCGCAGGCAGGGAGCCGCAGCGGCCGTGCCGGCTCTCGGTGTGCCCGGGCTCCGAGGCGCCGGGGCAGGGAATGCGGGGCACAATGGTGAGCAGCCCGGGGCTGCTGCTTCTTGCCCCTCGGCAGGGCCGGGCTCCGAGCCGCAGCTGCCCCGGGCCAGCAGCAGGCGGCAGCTCGCAGGCGCTGTCAGCGCCCGGCCCGGCACGGAGCTGGGCTGCAGCGGCTGCAGAGCCACAGGGGCCGGGGCTGCGGGCACCGAGAGCTCCCGGAGCCTGCGCTTGTCTCCGCAGCTGCTGCCGCACCTCAGGGCAGCGGGGACAGCGCAGCCACAGCTGCCACCGCCCTCCTGAGCCCCCAGGGCCGGCACCAGCAGTGACCTCTCCCCGTGTCCCTTTCAGGGTGCCATCAGCGCGGCTGTGAAGCTGTTCCCGAGGCCGAGCTCCCAAAAGATCTGCAAGCAGCACTCCTGATGTGTCAGGAGCAAGGTGCTGATTGTTCCAGGCAGAGAGATGCTGGCTGTGAGCTGGACGAGAGTGAACTCTGCTCCATTCGTGCAGTTGCGAATGAGCCCCAGCATCGCCAGCAGGGACCAGCAGCCGCGGTTCCACACCTGCCTGGGGCCCAAGAAGCCCCCTGGCATCAGCAGGGGGATGCCACTTGTGAGCGTGCACTGAGTGCAGATGTGGAGAATGGATTCTGCACCAGTGATGGGAGTGTGAGAGAGCCCCTGGCTCCCCAGGGCACATCAGCAACCAAGAATGAACACAAAAGGAACCTCAGAAGATTCCTGGGTGAGTGCAGGGCCACCCCTGTGGCCTCCAGGGTGGGGACAGTGTCCCCTCCCAAGGGCAGGGCTGGCAGGTGTGTGGCTGTTTCCCGATGTCTGGCAGAGGCCTGGTGCTCTGCTGGGCCCCATCAGTGGCTGGAAGCAAGAGCCCCAGCTGCCCCCAAGGCTGTGCAGTTCTCCTGCTGCAGCCTGTGCCCACAGCTGTGTCCCTGCCTGTGGCCACAGCTGTGTCCCTGCCTGTGGCCAGGCTCTTGGCTCTCTGGCTGCCAGCTGAGTGAGGCCCACACTGGCTCAGGGCTCCCTGCTCTGCTCCCTGGCCATGGGCTGAGCAGATTGCAGGCCCGGCTCTGCTTCTGGCAGCCAACAGCTCTTTCCTGCTCCAGGTGAATGGATCAGGGGCCATCCCGTGGGCACGGCGGTGCTGATTCTGCTGCTCCTGGTGCTGGTGCTGGCTTTGGGGGTGGCCCTGGCTGTGCTGGCAGGTAAGGGAGGGGCAGCAGCCTGGGCCCAGCCCCTCGGGGCAGAGCGGGCTCCCTGCTCCCTGCACAGGGCAATCCTCAGACCTTCTCCTCTTCCCCCTGCAGCACCACATGTTCCAGTCACACCTGCAACTCCGCTGTTGGTTCTGGGCTGTCCCCATGGCTGGGTTGGGTCCAATGGGGTCTGCTACTACTTCTCACAGGATTACGGCACCTGGGATCAGGGTCAGGAACGGTGCTCCGAGCTCGGGGCCTCCCTGGCCATTGCCAAGGATGAGGAGGCCATGGTGAGTGAGGGGCTGCAGGCGGTGTGGGGTGGCTGAGGGCAGCCTGGGGGTGCTCCTGGGCCGGGCTCGGTGCTCGTAGGGCCGGGGCTGCAGCCCTGGGCCGGGGCCTTGCAGGGAAGGAGCCCCGGCGTGCGGGGGGAGCCCCGGGCCCGTGTCCCCCCGAGGGGCCGGGGCAGCTCCCACTCCTCTCTCCTGGGCAGGATTTGCTCTTCCTCCTCCGTGGGAACGTCGATTTCTGGCTTGGGCTGCGCAGACGGGGCGAGCGCCTGCACTGGGGGGACGGCAGCAGCTACAGCTCCCGGTGAGTGCCGGGGAGCCGGGCAGGGCCTGGGGGCACAGGGGCACAAGGGCTGCCCCTGGCAGCCAGCGCTGCCTCTGCTCCTCCCTGCAGGGTTCCTGTCCTCGGCAATTCCCAGTGTGTGTACCTGGCTGAGAAGAGATTGAGGAGTGACAACTGCTCCAATGAGCGGCCGTATCTCTGCAGCAAGGCCCCAGCTCCCCTGTAACAGGGGCTGCAGAAAGGACCTTCTCCACACTGGGCAGTGCCAGCTTCACCTCTGAGCCCAGCACAGCGCTGTCCTTCCTCAGCTGCAGCCTGTGCCTTGCCCTTCCTCTCAGGGTCACCTCAGTGCCTCTTCATGCCCAGTGCCAACGCTGGGCTGGGGCTGCAAAGGAAAAGTCTCTGCAATCCATCCTGCCACCGGTGCTGCCTGCAGGGAGTGCATTGCTCTCATTATATGTGGGAAACATGGCTCACTATTTGCACTTTTTATCATAGTTTATTATGGGTTGAAATCCCACCCTGGCATGCTTGTCTGCTTGCTCCGGGTTAATTTAAACTCTGTTTTCTATGTACTGTTACATATTAGAGCTACATGCATATTTATATGAGTTTTTAAGAATCCTAACACAAATTTGAATTTACGTGCTCTTTTGGTTTTTTTTAACATTTGTCTTGCCTTCAGGCCATTTTTTAACTTAAACACTATATTGCGTGGTTTCTTGTGATTCTAACTTTTTGTATTTTCACTCCCTGAAAATGAGGGTCAATAAAGTCTTTTTTTTCCATGCTTGTTTCTGTGACCTTGTCTTTCTGATAAGCAAGGCCTTGAATGTGGGAAATCAATTAATTATTTGACACCATTTTCTGAGTTAGTTACATGAAACAATCATTCCAACATTACACAGTCTCTATTATGCTATGGTCTAACATTATCTATTTTATCAAATCTATAAGGTGCATACATAAACTGACAGATTAGACTACATCTAAAGCAGTAATTACAAATTGCACTATATCAGGATTTTTGACATCAATAATAACTTGCAAAACAAAAGTGAGTACATAAATGCAGAAGCCAATACCTATATTTGTTATTTATTACGTTCTACAAGCTCGATTGGGAAATCCAAATCACCCTGGTCACCTGGAAATCATCACAAACTGGCCTGAAGGTGAGAATTTTGGACTGTCCTTGCAAGACGTGAGAAACAACCCTCACTTTTGAAATCTTAAAGGTTAATTAAACCTTAACAAGAACATACTACAATGGACTGAATAAGGAAAAATTACAGCACTGAGGGTCTGTGTGAGTGTCAGCCACATCCTCGTTTACAAAATGGGTGCTCTGCCTTTTATACCCTCAGCCCCTCCCAAAGTTTTGTCAGTCAGCTCCTTCTCTGCCCTCCCCAGGTGGAGATCACTTCCTTACACCTTGATTGGAGCTCAGGTGTTGTCCTGTGGCCCCTCCTGGTAATGAGCCGGCCCTCCCCAAATGCCCCGAGGCTGCTGGGGCTGCTGCAAGGGGGAGGGAAAGGGGACTGTGGGGGGAGATATTACAGGGACAGCACTCTACAGCTACAGAACTTCTCCTAATGTACACATAATATCTGTTGTGAGAGCCAGCCATCACATCATTCATCTAGAACAAACCCCTCTTTTCTTTTCCTATGAGTCACTTGTCCTAAACAATTAGCTCTAATTTTTGTTTCTGATAATCTGCTCTTACTTCTCAAATAAATTTTTAAGGAGTCATAGTAGCATCTGTTGATGTGGGTGAGGACAGTGGGAACAGAAGGAAAAAAATCTCAGGTTTTCTTTCAACACACTTATGTGGAATGGACAGAATGGGATCACTGAGCTCTGGTGTGGCTTTTTGAGCCCATCTACTGTGCCCATGGGGTTGCTACTCATAGCAGGTGTATCTTAGTGCTGAGTGCAGAGGCCAACTCTGTTGTAGTGCGTTCTTATATTTTGTAATACTTTGAAGTAGTTGGTTTTGTATCCCCATGTTTTCCCCAAATGGTTTATCCCAGACTGTACCCCCCCCTCCTTTTCCCTCTACTTGTGTTATCCCTTTCCTGGGATAAGATCTCCAAAACCCCCACCCTGGCTCTCTGTCAGTCACCTCGACATCCCAGCCCCTTACCTAGAAGTTTCGGTCCAAGTTGTCGAGTGATTAGCCAGGGGCCAAGGGTCAACCCCCCAAGTCCTGCCCCATACGCTGTTTTGTATGTCTATCCCCCCAGCACCCATCCCCCAGAGATACCTATTGGTCAGTAGGATTTTATCTATGTTAGTTTCCTCCCCCCTTTAAATGTAAGCTCCGAACATCCCCCAGCGCTCTCGGCAGGAACCCCCTGAGGTATAGGAGCTCCCTCGGGACTCCTTAATAAAACCTTGGAATACCCCCTGCTGGGAGACGGCCCCTTTCCTCTTCCACCGATGTCTCTGTCCTCTCTGCTGCAGCAAAGGCAAACAGCCTGAGTGCCCTCAGCACCCTCGGGGCACAGAGAGTGTCTCCCCGCAGTCGGCCGTGGTGGGGCTACCCCCCCCACTCTCTGCCGACCCGGGTAAGGCCCAGGGACTTGAGAGGCTTGCAGAGAGACTGGGACAGCTTGGCGCCCAGCCGTGGGGCTCTGAGTCTATTCCACGAGCCCACGGAAAGGGGCTCGGACATTCTTTCAGTCTGTTCGATAAGCCTTCGGCCGGCAAGCTACCTCAGGAAAGAAAAAACTCCGTTTTAGTGAGTTGCTCTCCTGTGGACAAAACTGGGAACTTCGAAGTACCCTAAGAAGTCAGTTTCAGGTGGAAATCAACATCCCAGGCTTTTTCGTTCCCCTGTCCTGCAGCTGGATTGGTAAGTTTTACCCTTCTCTTGTTTCTCCCCTCTTTGGGAGGGGGTGTTTCCCTGCCCTTTGTTCTCAGGCCCACCGCGGAGGGCCGAAGTTTTTTTTCTCTCTATTGTGGGCAGGCTGCCAGCTGTAGGCTTTCTCCTCCCCCCCCCCACCTGGGTTGCTGAAATTTGAGATACAAATTTAAAATCAGAGCCAAAATGGGTGCTAGGCTTTCTGTATCTCACAAGGGTGTCTATTATCATCTTTTAAACATTCTTAAGAGTGAAAAAATCTGATTTTCAAAAACAGATGTTAAACAGTTCGTCAGATGGCTTTTCCTTCACTTCCCTGACGTGTCCACTGAAAATCTCAGTGATTTGGCTTTTTGGGACAAAATTGGTAGTGAATTATTGAAGGCAGGGAAAGCAGGAGACATATCTCCGTCAAAATTCGCTTTTTTAGCCCTGCAGATAAGAAATGTTGTAAAATTTAATTTAAAGATGCAAGAACAGCCATCCGGCAACAGTTTCAATATCTCTGTTTCCCAGAAACCCGATCTACCCCCCTCCAAGTTCGGTTCTCCCTCCCCCACCCCCCTTCCCCCACCCCCAGCCCCTGCACAAACCCCTGCCCCCCCCCAGAGGCTTCCTGTCTCCAACCCGGACACTTCTGCCCTGAATTCCCGAAATCCCACCCTTCCCCCTGCTTCCACAAGTTATAATACCGTGTCTCACAACCTTAGTGCCCGCCTTGGTACCCCTGAGACGCGTCCAGTAATTTCTCAGGACCATAATGGTGGACACCACGTGGCAATGCTGGTTTCCTCTTCTTCCCATAACCCCTTTCGCTCTCCCAACAACCCATTCTGCTCGGAGCACCCCGCCCCCGAAACCCGCCCTCCCTGTGTCCTTCCCCCGGCCCCTCCTCCGGCCCCTTCCGCCCTTCCCCCGGCCCCTCCAGCCCTGGCTCCGGCCGCCCCCGCCCCCTCAGAGCTCTGCCCGCCCGCCGCGGGCTCCCTCCGCCCCCCCCACGGCCCGCCCTCCGGCTCCCAGGGCAGTGTAACCAGAGACGCTGTCGCCGGGAGAGGGAACCCGGAAACAGCACAGGTCCTTTCTGCTGCCCCTGTCTCATATATTCCAGATGTCACCGGGGCATTCCAGCCAAATTATAGCCCCCTTTCTGTTGATTCTGTTAAAGAACTAGCCAAAGCCCAAAAAGATTTTGGGAGATCAAGTGAATATTTTAGAGGGCTCCTTAAAGCTACATTATTCGCTCACATTCTAACCCCTGCTGATATAAAACACCTTTTTTCCTGCCTGTTATCCTCTTCTGAATATCTCTTGTGGGAGGTTGCATGGCAAAAAGGATTGAGAGCAATTTTACCAGCTCTGTGGGCTGATGAAGCTACTGCTCGTGATGTTTATGGTAACATGTTATCTCTTGACCATCTCTGTGGACAGGGAGGTTGGGAAGACGCCTTGACCCAGGCAGAAAGCATTCCCACAAGGGCTTTCAGAGAATGTGCTAGAGCAGCTGAGAAAGCTTTCTTTGGGCTCCGTCCTAGTATTCCAATTGAGAATTATTTGAAAATAACACAATCTCCATCTGAGTCCTTTTTGAGTTTTGTGGAAAGGTTGAGGAAAGCTGTTGAATTGCAAGTTCAGCATGAAGGAGCCAGGATGGAAATCCTCACCGAAATTGCTAAAGAAAATGCCAATGAAAAGTGCAAAGCTGCTATTCTCAGCCTGCCTCTTGACCCAACGCCTACGCTGCAGGCCATGCTTGAAGTGTGTGAGAAGAAAGTAACTATCACCCTCGCTGACCACGACGAGAGACCAAAACCACAGAGAAGGATTGCTGCAGTGGAAACCCCTGAGCCATCATTCACCAGCCAGCTCCAGCATGTCACGATGCCACAAGAGAGAATCTCCAGCTCTAATAGACCTTGCCATCTTTGTAGGAAGTTAGGGCATTGGATGCCTGACTGCCCTCTGAAAAAGCAGTTTTTAGATTTTAAATACAATACGCTTAAAAACCAGAATTCCCCAAAGGACCACCTCTCAAAAAACTGAGTAAAGAGCGCTCCTTTCCCCAGCGCTATGACAAAAATAGGGTGGGCTCAATTCAAGTATGGGGGAGGGAAAAGAAATCTAGTGTAAAAGATGTATCGGTGCCAAGCGAGGCACTGGCTTTGAACAAAACAGAACATTCATTTCATTGGAATAATCCCAGACCAATTTTAACCACTGACTCTTCACATAATCCTTACAGGCTGGCGTTGACAGAACCTCTCCATCTCAGAGACACTAACTGGCATTTCATATCTGTTAACCCTGAACAACCAGGTACTTGGACACAGCTTTGCCAGAAACGTCACAGTAAGTATGTCGTCCTTGGGGACACAAAACACACACCTCAAGAAATTATTATTCCTCCGGGTCTCATATCATCAGACCCGAAACAATTTGTCATATGGCTTCACTGTACTCATCCACCCGTGTACTTGCCCAAAGGCCAAATCATAGCCCAAGCCATCCCAGTACCTGAGCCTCCATGGGACCAGGAGCAAGCAGACACCCTCAGAGGTAAACTCCATCCCAATGTCTGCTGGACTCAGGTATTGGGAAAAGAAAAACCCAAGCTATCATGTGGGTTACACCGTGGTGGCGAGTACAAGTCCATACAAGGACTTTTAGATACTGGAGCAGATGTCACGATCATTCCATCTAAAGAGTGGCCATCACACTGGGAATTGCAAAACGTAGCAGGACACGTGCAAGGTGTAGGGGGAATTCAATTGGCAAGACAGTCAAAAAATGTTGTTCAAATTGAGGGACCCAATGGCAAAATAGCTTCCATTCGCCCGTTTGTTTTAGACTACACAGAGCCCCTCTGGGGCAGAGATTTAATGGTTCAATGGGGAACCACAATTGACATCCCAGAAAACCCGCAG